AACCAAAATTGACAGGTTTATGTGAAAGAGTTATGTGGGGGTCAAAAGTGGCTCCAAATGGTTCGTGTAAATATACACACGGTGCTGCTTGCCAGTTTACTTGAAACTCGGCTTGACACGCTACCGCGTGTCTAGATTATAAAGTCAGTCATCCGGAAGAGCAACGCCTTACGCCTATTTCTTTATTTATATTTAACCAACAGCCTACAAAATAAGTTTCAAGTTCCTAACTTTTACAAGTAGGTACTTGTTTTCTGATATTATGTTAAATTGTAAATATTGGTTTTTATCTGTACCATAAAAATATAAAGGAAAAAAACTATTTAAAAATTAGCACTGTAATTACGTCAATATAATCACAATTACAGTATAATTCGATATTATTTAAAAATAAAATTAATTATCCTTATCGCATACTAGCGGTATTTTGTTCATGACTAAAATAAATTTATTTAATTTATGAATAAAAAATTAAATACGTACCATAAATCGATCATAGCCAGAAGTGTCTCTTCCATATCTTATCCCGTAAAAAGATATATAATCACCATCCGAAGCTTTATGTCCTATGAATGAATCCTGTTCGGTTTTAACTATCCATTCGTTATTTTGCACAGCCAGAGCAGGGGTAGTCGTAGAAAAAATAAGTATAAAAATAATAAAGTACGTCATGATTGAAAATTTGTTATAAATTACAACACAATTTAGGGTTAACTGCGAATGATATACCACAACTAACAACAAACGCACGTGTTTGGAAATGAAGCACGAGAATAGTAAAAAAACCAAACACACGACCATACGTTAATGTATACCTAATAAGACTAAAATATGTAATTATCGCTAATCAATTGTGCGATTGATATATGTAATCGATACTGTACAACGCTTGCGCTCTTGCGCTACAGCGCAAGCGTAGTACTGATACACTGAATCCTGCTCTTTCACACTATTGTCTTACGCACACCATATTCTCAGTCTAAGGTCAGTCAGACCTTAGGCTACAATATATTACCCTAAGTTATAAGAAAAAAAAAATTACATTGTTATTAATAAATAAATTTCAAGACTGACCATTGAACTTGGCAAACTCATTTAGATCTCACTTCTTTTGTCATTGATATCAACAACCAATGTATATATCATAATATTGAACTTGGCTATCATTTCACATTTATGTTTTTGATGGGTTTAACTATGTAGTGACTGACTGAATAACTAGCTGACGTAGCTACCCAGCAAACGTAGTTTTGGCATATAAATGAATATTGCCATTTTAAATTGGTGTTAGTGATAGAAGGGTGAAAATTTAGAAGTGAATGTATTTTTAATTCGGAGTCATATAAAAATAAATAAGCCAGTAGTGGTAAAAAATAGATAACAACCTATTTTAAGACCTACCAATTACGAATACACGTATTCGTAATTGTCTATCATGGGTAGAATGAGAAGGAGGGACGAGAGGGTCCGGGGGCCTATTATACATTACCTTTAGTAAAATCCGACCTAAAAAATCTGACGTGTCACATTGCACCCGTCCAATGTACGGTCGTGTCCGAAATGATTCTTTAAAGGTATGATAAAAGACCATCAAAGTAACTCCGTTGGAAAATCGAAGTATTAGCACTATGTTTTTTTAATTTACTTAAGTTAATAACTTTTAGTTTCCAGTAAAAGGATTTTTTATGTTACATTATCGTGATACTACAATCTTACAGTACTTTATACACGCAAACTTAATAGTCTAAAATAAAGCCTCAAACAAGGCCGAGAAGGTCAGGCATAAACATTAGAATGTACAAGTATGTACTTGGAATTACAGCAAAAATTCATAAACTACTAGCTGCGCCCGCGACTTCGTACGCGTGATATAGTATGGTTACTATCAAACAAACAAAAAATATTCTATAATCTAAACCAAAAAACCTAATATCTTATCATTTTGGCTTCGACTATCTGTATACCAAATTTAATTTAAATCGGTTCAGTAGTTTTTACGTGAAAAAGTAACAAATATCCATCGGGATGGAGGGATATTTAATCATCGAAACGCATAAATTTTTGTATTTATTATGTTAGTAGGTAGATGTATATAGTATAATTATATTTGTTTATATTTTTGTTTCACTGTCCTAAAACTATGTAACATTAATTAAAAAAGGTTTAAGGAACATGCGGCAAACTAACTTAAAGGAAACTTCATAATTGATTAAATAAGTTAAAAGTTAGTTTGACAAAGGCGAAGCTAATGCGTCTGGTATGTTCAACATGAATAACTAGGGCATGATAAGACCTTGTAACAGTAAACTTATTCTGGCCATTCAATCTGGATTCTAGATTTTCAAGTTTATAATAAAAATTTTAACGATTTTTCTAACTCGCAAATTGGCGTTGCTTGGTATATGAAAAATGATTATCATAGCAACACTACTTTGCAGTCTAATATCAATATTTGTTTTAAATATTTATAATGTAGGTAGGTATGTTTTAAATATTTATAACTAGCTGACCTATCTTTGACTGAATCACATTTATTTGAAGTTTATAATACATTTTATAATAAATAATATCTTTTTAAGTCATAGCCTATATGTTATTCTGATATGTAAGCTATATTACTGTAAAGTTTCATCAAAATCCGTTCAATAGTTTTTATGTGAAAGAGTAACAAAGATCTATCCCTAACTTTCGCGTTTATTATATTAGTAAGGAATAATGTAATAATGACGAATTAAATTATAACCATTCTAAATATGAAATTAATACCTACGTTGCTAGTATATATTTCAAAATGTTAAGTATATGTAGGTATATGTAAATGAACGAAATATGTACTCATAAGACATAAAATTGTTTGTTCATGTTTTAATAATAATAATGTCAGGACAATTCACAAAGCGCAATCTAGACCCAAGTTAAGGTAGCTAAACTTGTATTATGGGTACTAGATAACTCATACAAATACAAACATTTATTATATTTGTGCCTTGCTTCTATTACTTCTACACTATTCTATTCTGTTCTATTCTATTCTGTGCCTTGCGAGGAATCGAATCCGCGACCATCGGAAGTAAAGCGGTGTGTTAAACCACTAAATCACCGAGGCCGTGAAGTTTGTTTTACCCATGTACATGAATTGTTATTATATTTAACCCTACCATCCAATTTTATATAGTTTTAATTAAGAAGACAGTCCTCAACTGAAACAGTTCATGTGACAAACTCAGTGTTTTTCTTATCGTTAAAGTAATTTCGGGGCCCTTACCTATGCGTGAAGAGATACGGATATTGCGTCATTATTTTATTTTATGTACATATTACAATAAGCTGGCATAACGTAATTATATGACGCCCGATACCCCTAGGCAAGGCCTACTAACAAAGATGAACGGTGTGCTCTAAGGTGTAATGCCGTCGTGACTTGTAATTTCACAACCATATCTTTTACTATGTAATATTATGTTATCTGTGCTTTTACCTTACAACTGAAACATACCATATAAGGCAATCTGCGTAGAACAACGACTGAAGATAAAAATACCTCGATTACTAATCGATAATACGATTACGAATACGAATACGATTGTTAATCAGTACGTTTCATTTTATTTAATAAACTCCTGTATTGATTAAAAGAAAAATAACGAAAACTCAAATGGAAAAAGAAATGGGTTAAGGACGAATTATTTTTACTAGATTTTTTAATAAAATAGCTTCTAGTTCGACTTTATTATTATTGCTCAACACAGTAGCCAAGTTACGAGTGAACAATAAAATAATAGGCCTGTCATTCGATACCAAATCGCCTTCTTGCATATATACCAATTGTAAATATTTCGTTATTATAAATATGTATATTGCCACAACCTGGACTTATCATTTCACCTCCTCCTTTCTTGCTGCTGCTACAATACAATTAACACACAATGAACATAAATAATAACGGCTCCAACATAGTCGCTAAAAGTTCATGTATATCAGACTATAAACAAAACTGTAATATCTTAATTGATAATTAAATTATCAATTGGATTCACAAATTAAGCCGGGATTGGAAATTAGAATTGGGAATTGAATTAATAAATCAATTTAGATTCCAAATTACAACGAAGTTTACGAACAAATAATTGTTAACAGTGACAACATCAAGTCGTCTAGCAAATAGTTGTATCTTGAGGAATAGTTTGAGCACAGTTTACTAAAGTACTAGATTAATTAAAATAATTTCTTCTAATCGGATTACATAAAACCTGAACTGAACTCGATGTTAAATTAATTTACGTTGCTGAAATTCTGTTTGAATACTACAAATGATTATCAGAAAAAACATTCTCGTACATAATAATCGAATATGGATTCTTTTCTTATTTTAAATCTTAATAATATTATAAACGCGAAAGTTTCTAAGTACGAATGTCTATTACTCTTTCACGCAAAACCTACTAAAGGGATTTTGATGAAACTTTACAGTAATATAGCTTATGCATCAAAATAACACATAGGCTATATTTTATATTGAAATTTAACGCGGATAAAATCGCGGGCACTGCTAGTTGGTTATAAAAAAGAATATTGACAACTATAAAATATACCTAATAGTTAAAATTATTACAAAATTTACAAGATAATAAGGTACTTTGATAAAAAAATTTAAATCACCACTCGTAATTTTTAATTAGATGTGATGCTGGCAGGCTATCATAAGCACGCAGAAGGCATTTATGAGAAAAGAAAGATCATAGAGTATGTTCTTTCTTTTTCACTATAAAAATATAATTGAAGAGGGACAAAAGTGAAGTGAATTGTAAAATTGTACACACAATTTAGGTAGAAAGGATTATAAATTAAAAACAATGTTGCATAATTATGTATTTTTATGTAAAATTTATGCAAATCCGAATGCTTGCTGACATTTCAGCTCGGCACGACAGCAGCGTGGTAGGAGGGTCATTATTAAAAATGTATTTCACTTTTTTATTCATCTTATTTTAGGTAGCCATACAATATACTGGCGACTTACCTTGGCTACGCTCATTTGCCTGTAAAAGTTAATAAATTTGAATATTATTTTAATGGCATCCCATAATATCTGAAGTTTCTATTCAGAAATAAAAAAGATGTTATATTATTTTTCAAATACGATACGCACAAATTCGCTAGTACAGCTATTTATTAAATAAAATTCATTATCAATTATTATTGTTATAAGTAATTTATTTAAAATAATTATACCTAGTTAACATTTTTATTTTGTTTAGCCATTTGAAAACGTATTCACTTCTTATTTATTTCTATAAAGATTTAAGTTCCGCTTCATATTTCTGCCTGTAGATTTTCTTTGGGTCGTACTTATCTGCTAATTGTACCCAGTAAGCATTTTCTTTGTTGATAAGGTGTTTTATCACCTTTCTGACGCCAGACAATTGCTTTGGAGTACATTTGATGCATCCATTCCTCAGCGCTTCCGTGATGTGAGCTGTAATCAATATTTTATTATTAGAATAGCAACATACATCATCATCATCAGCCCACTGCAGTCCACTGTTGGACTTAAGCCTCTCCCAAGGTATGCCACTGGGCACAATCTTTAGCCCTCTTTTCAAGTTATTACCCGCAACCCTACATATGTCGTCCCTCCACCTAAATGTCGTTTACCTTTACGTTTGCCAATTTATCAATTTTTGTCAATAAACGTACATACATGAAATATACCTTTAATATTTACATGTGTATAGGTCCGATGCAGTCAAGTGGTATTTATATATGTTTATATACCAAAGCATCTGACCTCACCTGATAGTATATATATACACTTGTATAAATAATGACATGTAATAAATGTTTGTTCATGTAAATATAGTTTAATAAAACTGTAAGTTTGTCAATTTTTAAGTGTTTAAATGTTTAAGTTTTTCAATTTTTTTTTACTTTTGTTATGTAGTGTAGGTATGATGGGATTGTCAACATCATATTCTGTGTACAATAATCCCAATAAAAAAATAATAAGAGTATGTAAGAAAAATATTTTAAAAAGAAAGAAAGAAAGAAAAATATTTTATTCAGTGCAATGTAAAAATACAATATAAACAACAAACGTAAAAAAAGACCAAATAAAATGTACATTTAATTAAACTTAATTTACCATAATTAAAAAATAAACATAAAATAAACATTTTTTACATCCGATAATGCACTGAAATGGCTCCACTCAGCTTTAATGTATGTCCTAGGTGATAGCTGGTTTTCAGTGGCACCAAAATATATATATAAAAGGGGGGGGGAGAGAGAGGGCACTATTTAAAATATTAATGATAATAATTAAAACAAAATTACAACTAATAAATACAAACCAATTACATATACTAGAGATAACAAAATAGAATAAAATAACATTAATAAATAATAAACATTAAATATATATACAACTACTTTGCCGTAAGATTTATAGGTTAAATAGTACATAGATAATTCTTGTATAGTTTTTTAAAGGTGAATAATGATTGCAAATGAATAAAAACTGTCTATGTTATTGAAACCGCACCCAAATCGATAAAGCTATATAAGATAAACAGTAAAAGATTATAGGAACTATTGTTTTGGCTACTATAACGTTAATAAAAGTTTTCTTTATATCACTTACATGTAGTCAGTAGAAATCAGTAAAATTTTTATTATATCATTGCGAACCAGATAGTAATCTGTTACATTTTCAATACATTACTTACATTTGAGTTCTCTGCCTTCGGCGGTACATTTTCCTTTCTCCAGCATGCATTTAATGTATGCTATTGTCAACCTCTTGTTGGCCAGCACCTCGTCTATCTTTAAGGAGTCATATCTGTCAGTGTACTGTTCACTCTGGCCGGCTGCGTAGCCTATGACTGCAAACATCATGAGTAGTAGAAACTTCATGCTGGAAACAGAAAAGACAAGATTCAAAACACCACAACTCGTATCAATGTAGGTACTTAAAACTGTAAATATGTACTTATTTATTTAAGTTATACAAGGTTTCTTTTGAGTCAGCAACGCGTACTGATACCCATACTGGTGTCCATAGGCTACAGTTTAACATCAATTGGAGCTTAAGATTACTACTACGCTCCAATAAAAAAAACAGTGAACATTTTACTGCGTAATAAGTATCTACTGCATTTTTCTATGTAACTCTAAAAGTGTACGGATTCCTTATTAATAGTATCCAGAAGGGATAGGGGATTGTCAGCTATAGAGAATAATAGGCTAATTGTTAATAATATATGATAACAGATAAACCTCTACGCGGTCTCTCTCCACTGGTGCCTCGCCACCGTATACAATTAGCGCAGATGGGTAGACAGTTCCATTATCATCCCTTATACATAAATATTGTATATATTATATTAGTTCTGATTTTGGTTCCTTATTCAGTTATGAGGTAATATATACATATATAATTAATATTAGTTATTGATGTAGAAAATTTATTAATGACTATTTTTCTTTCATTTCAGGTAAATCAACAACTATCATCACATAGAAAAATGCACTTTATTATCTGGTAAAATACATATAATATAATCGACGGCCTCGGTAGTCTTGTGGTTTAGCACATCATTTTACTTCCGATGGTCGCGGTGCAAACATTTGTATTCTTGAGTATGATTGTTTATATTATTTTGGGTGTTTTCGATGTATATTATTTATGAATTTACAAAAAATATCTAAGTATTTATATCAGTCGTCTTGTACTCATAACACAAGCTCTGCTCACCGTGGGACTAGATGGCGCTATGTTAATTGTCCAAAAAATATATAATATATTGTCTAATAAAATGTCGATCACTGATCAGTATATATAAATTAAATATTAACTTACATCAAATAATTATCCTGGACCGAGAACAATAAATTTTGCGATACAACTAACTGCAGCTGATCACAAAACAATTCTTTTATATACTTTATAGACCCTCACCTAGTTTCAAGCGGTTAGCATAAATTTCATCTCGAAGAAAAAGTGATTAATGATAATTACTGTCCTGTCTCGCAGCTATTAGAGGAGCTAGACAAAATACAATTGTTTTTAATCTAATTCGCGTCTAGTTAATAGAGTAAAATGATCCTAATAATAATAAGTTGTTGTAACGAAACAAAATCTGGTCAAAAACAAAATCATATCAGTCGGAAGTCCGGTCTTTGTTTAGCAAGACCATTGCTAAACAAAGGCCTCCCCAAAAATCTCCACGACGATTGGCCCTGCGCTGCTCACTTTCAAATTATTCAGTACAGTTATCACTGTTTGATCATGGTCTCTAAATCTTCACCACTTGACGAGTGGTTTTAGTTGTATTTACATGCGAATGTAGCTACGGTTTATACGTAAAGTGTATTCCCCAGCTACTAAAATAATACCGTACTAGTACCTAGATAATGTTAAGCCCTCGAAAACCGTTTCAATTTGATCCCTCCATTACACTCAATTAAATTGGCTGGAGGGGATCACTGAGTCGTTATTCGGTAGATTGCTCGTTACGACTTGAATTAAATACATCTTAATGAGAATATTTTAATTCTTACTACCGCCGTAGACAGGTTTTTTTATTTAATCAGTAGTAAATAAGATTTCAAGTTATATATATATATATATATATATATATATGTATATACATATATCTATACATCTATTCATCATCATCACATATATAAAATTAGTGTTTGTAATATTGAAATAACCGTTTTTTACCATATGTGTATGAATCAAAAAAATGCGGTATAGACACCAAAATAACATATTTAACAATTTTTTTCTGTCTGTCTGTTTGTTCCCGCTAATCTCTGAAATAGTTGGACCGATTTTGACTAGACTTTTTTTGCCAGATGATGTAATAAGGAGTAGCTTAGGCTACTTTTATTTTAGAAATATAAAATTAAATTCCACACGGACGTAGTCGCTACAGCTAGTATATAGGTATAATATGTCGAATTCTTCTTATTCGACGGCCTCAGTGGTCTAACGGTTTAGTACAGCGCTACTTCCAATGGTCACGGGTTCGATTCCTCGCACCTCGCAAACATTTATATTCATGAGTATTATTGTTTGTATCAGTCTTGGTGTTTTCTATGTATAATATGTATGTATTTGTAACAGTTATCTAGTAACTATAACACAAGCTTTAGCTAGCTTAATTTGGGTCTAGAAGGCGCTGTATAAATTGTCCTGAAATTATTATTATTATTACTTTTGACAGAACGATCCCACGATCGTAGGGAGTAATGGCGCAGGGAGTAATGGCGAGCTGTCGTAAAGTGAATGACATCTGCCACTCACTCCACTATATAATGAGTGGTCATTATATAGTGAAGTGAGTGGCAGATGTCATCCTCTTTACGACAGCTCGGTCATTATATAGTGGAGTGAGTGGCAGATGTCATTCGCTTTACGACAGCTCGGTCATTATATAGTGGAGTGAGTGGCAGATGTCATTCGCTTTACGACAGCTCGGTCATTATATAGTGGAGTGAGTGGCAGATGTCATTCGCTTTACGACAGCTCGGTCATTATATAGTGGAGTGAGTGGCAGATGTCATCCTCTTTACGACAGCTCTGTCATTATATAGTGGAGTGAGTGGCAGATGTCATCCTCTTTACGACAGCTCGGTCATTATATAGTGGAGTGAGTGGCAGATGTCATCCTCTTTACGACAGCTCGGTCATTATATAGTGGAGTGAGTGGCATTATATAGATGTCATTCGCTTTACGACAGCTCGGTCATTATATAGTGGAGTGAGTGGCAGATGTCATCCTCTTTACGACAGCTCGGTCATTATATAGTGGAGTGAGTGGCAGATGTCATTCGCTTTACGACAGCTCGGTCATTATATAGTGGAGTGGCAGAGTGGCAGATGTCATCCTCTTTACGACAGCTCGGTCATTATATAGTGGAGTGAGTGGCAGATGTCATTCGCTTTCGGTCATTATATATTCGCTTTACGACAGTGAGTGGCAGATGCTCGACAGCTCGGTCATTATATAGTGGAGTGAGTGGTCAGATGTCATCCTCTTTACGACAGCTCGGTCATTATATAGTGGAGTGAGTGGCAGATGTCATTCGCTTTACGACAGCTCGGTCATTATATAGTGGAGTGAGTGGCAGATGTCATCCTCTTTACGACAGCTCTGTCATTATATAGTGGAGTGAGTGGCAGATGTCATCCTCTTTACGACAGCTCGGTCATTATATAGTGGAGTGAGTGGCAGATGTCATCCTCTTTACGATAGCTCGGTCATTATATAGTGGAGTGAGTGGCAGATGTCATTCGCTTTACGACAGCTCGGTCATTATATAGTGGAGTGAGTGGCAGATGTCATCCTCTTTACGACAGCTCGGTCATTATATAGTGGAGTGAGTGGCAGATGTCATTCGCTTTACGACAGCTCGGTCATTATATAGTGGAGTGAGTGGCAGATGTCATCCTTTTTACGACAGCTCGGTCATTATATAGTGGAGTGAGTGGCAGATGTCATCCTCTTTACGACAGCTCGGTCATTATATAGTGGAGTGAGTGGCAGATGTCATTCGCTTTACGACAGCTCGGTCATTATATAGTGGAGTAAGTGGCAGATGTCATTCTCTTTACGACAGCTCGGTCATTATATAGTGGAGTGAGTGGCAAATATCATCCACTTTACGACAGCTCGCCATTACTCTCTACCAACTGCCAATTAGGTACATTATTGAATACTAGTTTTGAATTAAATTAAATTCTTGTATATATAGATCTTTTATTGAAGAATTAAAGAAGAATAACGAAAAATTTTATATGTATTAATTAGCTTTCAATTGTCACTGCCTACCCCAATAGGGAACATGCGTGAATATATAATTGGATAAAAAGTGCTAGTGTTTTTATTAACAATAGTGCGAGGAAATGCTAGAAAGATTATGTGTATATAAAGGTAGAATATCGCGTGTGACCTTCGCGTGTCACCTTCAGAGAGCAAATCTAGACGATGTTTCCAGACTACGAGTAGGTACAATGCCATTGTCGTAGACCTCCAGTAATTACCAGAGGGAGACTACATACAATGTCGTCTGCAATGTCAACTCTATAAAAGATTACCATAAAACATAGAATACAATAACTTCATGGAGTGTTTTATTTTTATGTAAACGGATTGGCCCAACTAATGAAAAGCGGTCACCATTGCTCATATATACATCATCTCTCTACATGATTAACTTCATAAACATCACAAGTACATTGTATGTTCATGAGTTGTTATTCCTGGGTACAGAGCCGTCATACCTCTGTACCCTGGAATTTTACTGCCTTATCTCCTCACCCTTCCACCGCAATATAGCTTATAAAGTAAAGTATTCACCATCCAAAACATATGGGAAGAATAAATTTTTTTGTGCAATATCCTTATCAAATTGTAATTTATGATGACAATTTTTCAATATAAATCCTAAATTGCAATCTAAATTATGTAGTGAATTAAGTTAAACTAAATGTGATGTATTTGTTAGAAACATAATCTTAATAGGTGTCTGTCATATTTTTTTCTAAAGTTATTCTGTCCAATATGTGTATAGAATGACATAATTACATGCAAATAACAATTTATCAATTGTGTATACAATGCCTAAAATTTATTCAGAAGTGAATAACAATATCTAATGTCTAAGCATAATTACATGTAAATATTAATTTTAAACAATTTATCAATTGTGTATACAATGCCTAAAATTTATTCAGAAGTGAATAACAATATCTAATGTCCTATGCATAGCAGTATTGTCATTAAACACAAGAAATAAATTATTACGTTCATTTATTTTATAAATTGACCATTTCTTTCATTTCAATTTCAATTAATTAAATGGTAAATCTTGTAAGTTTTTTGGTAATCTATTATATATTGTAATGT